TCTCCATCTTCATTGGTTATATTAACGTGTGGTCTATGTGTAAATGATGCGATTTATGACATAAAGAAGCTAAATAAATCGTAGTTTCATCAGTACAAGCATCTCTTGTATCTAAAATCGTCACATTGTTTACATGCATAGCACACGCTTATATACCCATAGACGAGAGAGAATGACAGAGAGAAGAAAGAGCAGAAAACGAAAGGCTAATAAATGGACAATAGAAAGAAAGAAACTGGCAAATGGATGAGCAACAGGAAGAAAGACCATGACGTATACCAGACACACTGATATCATCACAATACCTAATTATCTTAATACAACATAGACAAGAACAACTAACAAATATGGCACGTATATTATTCAGAAGTAATATTTACAGTTGCAATTGCTTTGAGAGTAGTTAGATATGACCAATTATAATTTTTTAATTCTATTTGGTACAAGAGTTTTGCTAGGTCGACTAAACTAATAAAAATATTACAATTTATTTTTATTCCTAAATCTAATATCAGTAATAAACCAATAGTTTAATTGAAAATTTTTGTATCAATATATCGAATCATATTGTTGAAAAGTTTGAATTTGATTAAAGTATCTAATCTCAAAAATTACGATATAGTATTTTCGTTTGAGAGAGGATCAATTATCATATATAGTGAATAATTGTTACATTGCGTCATTTCAAGGTAGCCATTAGGGGTGGATCATTTTGTTAACGGAACTTAATTAATGGCATTAATTAATGACTTCCATTAGCCATTAATATTAACAGTTAATGTTTTCTGAGAAAAACTTAATTCATTAATATTAATGTTAATGTTTTCATGAACACATTAACTTTTCCATATTAGTGAATTAGGTTTTTCTAAGGAAACATTATCTACTATTGTTAATCAATTAACTGGCCTTAATAGCTAATGTATTCTCCGAAAGCGTTAATTACTTAATATGGAAAGTTATTGCTTTCATGAAAACATTAACCATTAATATTAAGTCATTGATTTTAATGAAAACATTAACATTAATATTAATGATTAATGAAAATATAATCCCTAATATTAACGAAAACGTTACTACCCAAGCAGACAAAATTTTTCAAAAACGCGTTTAAACACTCAATCGGGAACCGCGATTGTGGATCATTAACGCTCATTAATGAAACGCAAGAAACGCGTTTTTTACGCAGAATTCTCACTTTCCAAACGTGAAAACGAATAAAAACCCCAATTCCGAACGTTTAATCGCACAATTATTCGATAAATTAAAAATCAATTCGTTTAAACCCTCAAAATTGTAGTTTCTATGTGTTTTCGCGTTCGGAAAGTGAGAATTCTGCGTAAAAAAACGCGTTTCTTGCGTCTCATTAATGAGCGTTAATGACCCACAATCGCGGTTCCCGATTGAGTGTTTAAAAGCGTTTTTGAAAAAGTTTGTCTGCTTGGGTATTCATACTAATGGTGAATGTTTCCGTTAACCGTTAATATCGTTCAAGAACATTGACATTAATATTAATGAATTAAGTTTTTCTCAGAAAACATTAACCATTAATATTAATGATTAATGAAAAACATTAACATTAATATTAAATTAATGTTAATGGCCCACCCCTAGTAGTCATTATTTCATCAACGAAAGTTTATTTTATAAATGTTTATGATAATCTATGGTAATAAATTAGTCAAATATAAACAACAGCTTCGATCCTCTTTAGTATATCTATAATATCCACTTATTCCATTTAGTAGAAAACTTTTGTCAAATATATCTTTATAAAAATATATTAAGTACTCAGCTCGTATCAAAAAATAATTAAAATCTCTCAACATTTTATACAACATTTTTTATCAAAAATATCAATAGCTATGTCGTCTTCATATCTTCTCTATACTACTACAATTCACTATTAATATATTCATTAACTTCCAAATGTTAAAACGTTTCTTTTCTATCTTATTCCGAAAAACATTATGAAACTTATTCTATTAAAGAAAAGAAAATCTTCTATTGAGCTAGTATTTATCTAAGTGATCCATGATATGTGAGTTCCACATTTTAGCCCCAATGAGAGGTTGTGCTGAAAGTCTTTTTTTCTGCACTGCTTTCCTTGTAAAACTCGATTGAAAGACAAATCAACATCTTTGAATTCATATATAGAAATTTTAATGAGAAAATATTTAAGAAAACATTCATATGAAAACGGTTGCATAAAATAAAGCGATAAAGTTGGCACTAATAATGAAGTACTTCATCAGATTGTAATTATATTTGAAAAATTCTTCGAAATCTGAATATTCAACGTCTGATTCCAGTTCAAACACCAATATTCCTTAGATAAAATACAAAAAAGCTTTATAACGAACTCAGAATTCTGCTTTTAAACAAAATTCTAAGCAAACATTCCATTTTGATAGATAGAAATATATATATTCTTGTATGATATAAAATTCTGCTGGTAAATGATCAATTCTGCTTAGAATTCTGCTGTCGATCTAAGATAGTATTTGTATACAATAACACAGGAAAGAAAGAAAATAACATAGTTTATAAATGAACAGAATTCTCGAGTTTCGCTTGGTATGAATTCTGCCACTGCTGCACTGGGTGGATCATGTATTCTGACCCACCCGTTATATGCAGCGTGACATACAAAAGTAATCGTATAAAAAAGTCCACATTTATATCCAAGATTGGACAATTGTAATTGCATTACTTTGTATGACCATTTGCTCAAGAATGCTTGTAGAACACACATTGACAGTTATTTTAAGGTGTTTAATTTTTTCCTGTTGTCTGAATGCCGATTCATGAGCTCACCGATAGTCATTGATTGATTGCATAGTTGCAAATTTAAAGATGAGCATTTCTGTCATGTCATGGGATTGGCTTTGTGTTTGGATACAATATCTGAAGCTAGGCATGTAAATTAAGACTTGAGTTGATTTTCCCAGCTGTGGAAATTTCTTTTCAAGGAAATAATCACTTGACTATTTGGCTTATCAGTGATGTTCTTGAGAATTATAGCACATAGTATTATTTGGCACTCTTATCAATTTTTAAGGGCAAAATATGAGTCATCATATTTTGCAATGTTGTCACAAGAATACTCATATTTTGCCCTTAAAAATAGATAAGAGTGCAAACTAATGGTGTGCTTTAATTAACAAAAACATTGCTAATAAATCAAATAGTCAAGTGATTATCTCCTTGAAAAGAAATTTCTGAAGCTAGGCAAGTGAATTGAAACTTGAATTTATTTGTCCAGCTGCTGAAATTTCTTTTCAAGGAAATAATCACTTGACTATTTGGCTTATCAGTGATGTTCTTGAGAATTACAGCACGCCATTAGTTTTCACTCTTATCTATTTTGAGGGGCAAAAATATGTGTATCCTTGCGACAACACTGGGACTACAATGACTCATTAAGTCTTTTTCCAACCAGTTTTCCAAGTTACTTTTTCGTGCTCTCATTCAGTGTCTTAGCACAGGGATACATATGTGTTGGCATCATGGATATAACACATTCATATCTACTTAGCAAGTTAAATACACGCGTATCAATACTGCGCAAGAACGGAAAGAAAGAGAAAATAGCTTTGCGCAAACGTGGGCGAAAGATTACTTGTAAATAAAATAGTACGCTTGTCCAATTCCGAAAATCTAACGCGCCATCTAACTAAACACTTCAACTTTTCGAATTGAGAGTAGAATTTACTGAAACTATTTATCTTACGATGAAAATGCTCTACCAACCGATAATGTGGAATAGTTGAATAGTCGAACGGATCCTTCCAAGACTGTCTAGATACATCGAAATGGACGGATTATTCTATTATCATCAAATTTCAGGTTAATTATGATAATTATAACTAGGATCGACTTGACAGTCTTGGATAATGATTGAATCACCATGAATAGTATAACTCGCACTACTTTTTAATGTTTTGATTGATTTACATCAATCTTTTTTTCATTCTCATCCATAGAATAATTGTGCATTCATAGGACGTCTTACTTTCACTCCCATCTCTATCCATTAAAAATATCTCCGACAGCAATTATAAGTGTTTAGAGGTGGATCAATATCATGATCAAAATAAAAATTATTCTGTTTCTCTTATTTTAGTGACCAGTTGGACACCCTCGAACTACCTGAGGAAGAGCCACAACAGCTAATCTGAAAAGTAAGTACAAAAGTGTAATCTACTAATTGCGGCACGTGCGATATTGGTAATTCTGTCATTTTCACTCCACTGATAGTCGTTAGCAACATGAACCATGATTACATCGGTAACTTATTGTGATTGCATCAAACATTTTCAGTTTTTTCATATTACCAGACGTATCAATTTGCTGGTGAAAGATAGGTTTATATACTATTCAACTGAGATTTTATGTGATCGTACTATTTCTTGATTCGCACGTTTCGAATGAGGATGCTTCCTATAGTTAGTACAAGAAGATTCTTAGTACTGAAATGTATGAACACACTATTTTTAAACATTTTAGAAAGAAAAATGCATAAAAGTAAGAGCAAGACAAATTGTAGTATGATGTACTTCTAGCTTGAGCCTGCTAGTTTCAGTAATTATAATTTACCTGCATCGATGTTATCAAATGATGATCATTAGTAATCATTGGTCTAATGTTGTCCAAGTATGAGAACGATTGCTGAAGATCGAACCTATATTCTAATGGACTGAATTAACGCGTTTGTAGAAATCATCATCACCCTTCATGATTGCATCATGTCTCAGCCTTTCCAACATGCATCATTTTCCCACCATTTTTGTGTCGCATTCTAGCAGTATATGGATACGAACTTCCGATCTTGAGTCACAGAAATAGCACTCAAAGAATAAGTATTGAATGTGAAAAAACAATTTCCAAAAATAAATCAATATTACTAGTCTTAACTTATAATAGGTGTGTAAACTCAACTCGCTGCAATATACATTCGCTCTAAATAACGATTTTCATATTAAGCCGAAATTACATCGATGATTCCGAATGGTGGTGGTTTCAAAACGTCGATGCAGGTAAATTAGAATTGCTGAAAACAGAAAGAATAAACCGATAGTATCTGATGCCATGACTCGTATTGCCACTCTTTTACATCTTGCTTTGTGGAAGTATATTTAAACTTTCTAAACATGCAAATTACTGAAATTTCCCTACATCTTATTTCTTGAGTATATATTCATGGATATATATAGGAAGCGAATGTGGGAGTGGGGATGAGAGGGTGGATTTGACGGTGCAACATGGGAGTGTGGGTGCGACGGTGCAGCATGAGGGTGTGCGTGAATGAGTTATGTGTAGCAAGCAGATGAAGATGTAGGTGAGGGTTTTCGTGATGACCGCCGACATTCTAGGCTCAAAATCATAGGTTTTTTCATCGGGAGAACTATAGAGAAGCGACTAGGCGATATCCCGCATCTCCCCAAGAAACGTGGACTGGTGTGGTATGTGGCATCTCCAACTTCTCCCGGGGTTTCTCCGCTTCCCCGATTTCTCGGATATGTGACACAGTTTCTTACCGTTTAACATAGGCGTAATGATAGTTTTCAACTTTCAGGGTGTTATATATCTCTGTGTAACAGTGCTCTTATGGTGCAGTTGGCATATCGTTGGCAGGATCATGGTCAACGAACTTTCGTCTTTAACAATACTTGCATTTCGATGCGTCTTTGCTTGCCCTGTGTTGTTTGCCGTAGCATGGTTTGCAGATCCTATCGGTATGGGAACTGTACCGAAAAGTTCACTGAGGCAACTGTTCACTCTGGGTCTTTTGTTACTTGGAGGTAATTCGTATCTATTTATTCTTGGATTAAAATGGACGTCAGCATCAGAAGCAGCACTGACACAACCACTCATTATTATCTTTACTGCAATATTTGAAATGATATTTCGTAGGGAAAACAAAACGAACCGACAGTCTAAAACCGTTACGCATTTGAAAGTGCAAAAAATTGGAATAGTTTGTTGTGTAGTGGGTTCCCTATGGATTTTAATCAATCGAAACCAAGTAGCATTGCCAATTAAATTGCAATCATCATCCAGTTTTGGATTCCACCGTATGTTAGGTTTTATGTGTTTGTTAGGCAATACACTGTGCTTCAGTGTATACACATGTATGCAATCTCGTGTCTTGTCAAATCTTTCTCCTCCATTAGTGAGTGCCTATTCATATGGTCTTGTGACACCATTGATAGTTATAATAAATGTTATATCATGTGGTGCTAAAGGCACTCTGCAATGGAAGATGGTTACCAGTTCACAATGGATGGGCCTTTTGTATGTTGGTGTATTCGCCACTGGATTAGCCAGTCTCTTGTATTCCTATGCGAACAAGTGTCTTCACCCGACAGTATGCGGACTATCTGCTGCTTTACAACCGCTTGTATCATGCTTATTAAGTGCTATATTTCTTCAAGAACGCTTGTCTTTACAACAAATAATTGCAGCTACTTTCATTATTGGTGGCGTTACAATGGTCATATTCAACCAGAACGACGATAGTACAAAATGTTCAAAAGAAGAATTATCAGCAGAAGATATTGGTGAATCATTTCTATTCTCAAAGGTTAGAATGCACCTAAGAAGGATCCTTATGTACATTCTAATTGCTCTAATATGTGTTGCTGTGTATATTGGGTCAGTCGAGCATGCTCAACTGAAGGCCGAAAATCATAGCCTTCGTGATCGGTTATCACAATTAGTGAAAAAACAACAAGCGTATCGAGTACGCTTAGGTGAGGTATCTTGTGCTTTGCATGGTGTAGGTCCAACAGGTGGATTTTGCCGGCAAGCTGGTCGTGCGAGTGATGGTGGTCATCATCTTGATCAGCAGCTATGCTTAGAACTATCACGCTTCTTTTCCGGATCTACTGTGTATGATTTAGGAGCTGGTATGGGTCAGTACACGAACTGTTTGCGAGAAGTCGGCTCTGTGGATAGTTTAGCTTTTGACGGCGCAGAAAATATCGAAAATGCCAGTAATGGTACTGTTCGCTTCATGGACCTGTCAGAACCACAACCATGGGAAATTTTAGGTGTGCGTGACTGGGTTTTATCATTGGAAGTAGCAGAACATATTCCTGCTTCATTTGAATCAACTTACCTACACAATATTGATCAGGCTAACCGAAAAGGTATTGTTCTCAGCTGGGCAATTCGCAATCAACCGGGTTTTCACCACATCAATTGTAGAAACAATTCCGAAGTCATCAGTATTCTTACATCAATGGGATATAAATATAACCCACATCGATCCGAACAACTTCGATATCAGGCCAGTCTTTGGTGGTTTCGTCAAACAATTATGATCTTTTCGCGTGTTATTCTACAATAAAAAAATCAACTCTGTGTGCGAGTCAAGAACGCATGTTTAATACAGATATATTGCAATAAATAACTTAAATATGCGCTTCTCCATGCCGTCAAGTTAAAACGAAAAATCACCCAATAAATAATGTTTCTATTTATGAGCATGAACCAACTTGTTAAAATCAAATCTGGGGTGTTGGTTGTGTTAGCGAATTAGCTATCAGAATATGTTTGAACTGAAACAAGAGCCTCATCAGAGAGTATTTACAATTCTACGTAATTAATCCGAAAAAAGTTAAAACAACCATATAAATTCTTTCTATACTTCATTGAATTAAACCGAAAGTGAAAATTATCGAACGTGTTCTATTCTAAAATTAGCCACCACGATGAGTCTCGACACAACAACGATTCTCATTAGATACTTCCCATGTATTAATTATAGACTATTTTCCTATTATCATTATTCCACTGGTATAGAAATAACAAATCTGAGAAGCGGATTTTTGAGACGATATATGTTCTAACTCAGCTGCAGTGTATCGTTGTGACGCGATGATGAACATCCTAGAATGAATCAAAAATTCTCGCTTGAATGCTTGCATTCGCATGTCGCAGAACTCTATTATTTTGAGCAGCTTCTTTTTTCCCTTTCCTGAAAGAGGGTGTGAGTGTGGGTGTGGGTAGTTATTTGAAACATCCACACCCAATACTATTTCAACATTATCCTGTATGTAGAGAAGAGTCTAAAAGCGATTTCGAGAAATCAAATAAAACAATGCATTTTCTACATTCATGTTCGTTACCAGGGACAACACACTGAAGCCAACAACGAAAATCAACTAGAAGTCAGTTCGCCCCCTCTTGGACTGTCAAGTTGTTGTCTGCGAATGTGAGTGGGGAATAGGAGAATGGATGTGGCTGCAATTGCAGGTATTCACTTCGAGATGAATATACATGACTACATGACTGGTTGAACACACACAGACATGGTCACATTCATATCCTATTTTCTCATCGATACGGAAACGATAGTAGGAGCAAAGTGTGTGACAATTGTATGCGCAAATGATGTTGTTTTGCGAATGTCATCAATGTTAGAAACGTGCTTTGCACAGTGAATTCATGGCCTGAGCTTTCCCTAGTAAAAAAACTGAGACATGACAATGATCTTTCTACATCATTTCAACATTGAATGATGATCATTACGTCAGCTATTGTCATCTTACTTATTTTACCTATATTTCATGGCAAAATTTATTTATTTTCAACTGAAGATAGTTCCTTTGCCGATTTTTACGATTGCCTGAACCTCAGAAACGTTTTCTACTGTCGTCGACCGATCGAGCCAATCGCTCTGAAACGCGATCAATCCCCATGGGAATGCCACAACAACGGCACGCGCTATTCATTCACCGACCTCAAGAACATGAACATCAGCATAAGTACGATTCTCCATAAGTGGCTATCAAGTATCGAAAAGGTAGATGAGTATGCACGCTATCTCCGAACTGGGTCAATCGAAAATAATGCATATTTATGTGCATGTTACAAGCAAGAATCGTTTGGGAAACATTGTGAATATTTTCTACCGTATGGAAGCACATTCGAGAAGACAGTCGATTGGAAACTCTTGACGGAAACAAAATATCCATGGCAAGTACAAATTCATGGGCAGATTATTTGCTACTCAACACTATTGTGTAATCATAGTTTGCTATGTCTCGATTGGCGTGATATTTGTGATGGTACTCAGCAGTGTATGTTAGGCTATGATGAGGAGAACTGTGATATTTTAGAATTCAACGAGTGCGAAGTTGATGAGTATCGGTGTACGAACGGAATGTGCATTCCTGGTGATTATTTTGTCGATGGTGATTACGACTGTATGGATTGGTCTGACGAGAAGCCGATTTTTGATGACAAGAACTGTGTGGGGACAGAGGTTAGCGTCAATTGTGACGATAGAATGTGTCCGCCGAATTGGTGGTCGTGTGGCGATGGACAGTGTATCACAGACCGACTCGCCTTTCAGAGTGCTGCACAGGACAAGGCTGAATGCCTCAGTCGTCGCGATCAATTTTATCTATGTGAAACGAACTATGGTATTCAATTGTGGACAATGCCGAATGGAAGATGTTCTTTAGGAACTGACGCGTTCGATGATCCCACATTTAATAATGGTAGTCTAGAATGTATTTATTTAATTAAATGCAGCTTTTCGGGAGGTGCAGAAAAGAAATGTCCTTGTAAAAACATGGGATGTAGCAAACTACTGGAAGAGAAGTGTCCTTCTGGCCTTATCCAATACCCTTTGGGCGCAATCATTAGCCCATTTGTCTTTCATTTTTACAACTTCACGCACACTCGAAATGAAAAAATATGGGATTCAATCGTGCTTAATGGCACTATAAAATGTCGAAACTACTTCGTCACTCGGGAGATAACACTTTCCTATTCATCTAAGCTTCACTCGCGAATATTTGAAAATATTTTTTGCAACCATACATCCGATATTTTGGCATTTACCAGTGACTATGATAAGTTTTGCTACAACAAATCACAAACCTTCAACAATCATTCGTACAATTTTATCGATGTATGTTCCACGTCGAGAGAATGCATTTCTGCGTATCGAATCAGAGATGGTACGTATGATTGTATGGATCGGCAAGATGAAGAGATACTTAATCTAAACACTTGTTCGAAAAATCAACATCATCGTTTTCGATGTTCAAATGAAGAGCCTACCTGCTTGACTGTGACGGCTCTGGGCGATCAACACTCTCACTGTAAAAATCAGTACGACGAATTATGGATGGGATCAAGTAGATTGCTGTCAAAAATGAATTGTAATATCCAACAAAAAGAGCATTGTCGTGACATTCGTCAATATATTGAACAGTCGTGGTCATCGAATCGTGATTCTATGCTATTGCTCAGCTCACCTCGAATACAATTTCGTGCCTATTGTGATACATTCTGGAATTTCGGCTCAAAATTAGACGAAAATGCAACATTGTGCCAACGATGGTGGATTTGTCCAAAAGATCAATGGCGATGCCGTACCGGGCAATGCATTAATATCACTTGGCTTCTCGATGGCGAGTGGGATTGCCCGGATGCATCAGATGAACAAGCTGTATTTCTTAATATTTCATCTCACAATTTTCAAGTTATGAATTGTACTGACATCGAAAAAACGTTCAAAACAAAATACTCAATGCAACCATTTTCGACTATCTGCAACACAACTGTAGAATTTCCATGCTTTCGGAATGATGTATTATATCCATTGAGCAATATTACATATATTCGCCCTTGCATACCTCTTGAAAATATTGGCAATGGTCATCCAGATTGTCTAGGTGGCATCGATGAACGCAATCGTCTAGAACAGAGCAACGGAATAACCGTGCTAGGTTATAACTTTAAATGTTTATCCACTGGCTCTTATGTTTCACATTCGTCGACCTGTGATTATCGATGTTCCAACATATTAGACGATGAGATTCGGTGCTATGGCATGCAAAGATCAGAAAAATGTAAGGGTGTGCGTGACTTCATGTGTTTGAATGAGACTTGTGTCAATGGTGGCCATTGTAATAGTGCCTATGAATGTGAATTTGGCGAAGACGAATACATGTGTGATCTCGAGAATTTTTCTCGTCAAGCACTAGCAAGGGCCTATCGTGAGAAAAAAGAATTGAGCTTGAGAAATGTTGGTCTAAAACTTCAACTATCCGATTTCCCCATCGAAATAAATCGAACTAGGTTTCAACCGGAAGCCACTAACGCCTCCTCATTTATTGATTCGAGCTCTTCTAATTCAACGATTGCATACATTTGCAATCGAGGCATTGGCGTTTATCTATATAATGGCTCGATAGCCTGCTTTTGTCCACCGCAATACTATGGCGACCGGTGTGAGTTTCACAGCGATCGCTTGAATGTTTTTTTCGATTTAAATGTATCTCGGTCAATCTATGCCGACAACAACGACCAGGATATGGTTCTCAAATTACTTGTTGTGTTTCTTTTCAAGAATCAGACGTTGGACATTCGTCCATTTCATTTTCGACTGGCAACTGAAATGGTGACTAATAGCAAGAGAATCACTCACTTTGTTTACTCTAGAAGTGCTGAATTCATTAATAGAAGACGTTTGCAATACTTGGATCGATCACAAATCATCAAAGAACATCCGTATTCTCTCCAAATCGAAGCGTATGAGTTCAAGATGAATAATGAAACGCCCGTACTCGTTGCCGTCTGGCAATATCCTATCTACTTCGATTATCTTCCAAATTTTCGCTTTACCAAAGAGATCCGATTGGAAAAACCAGACACCAATGATAGAAATCCATGTTCGAGATACCCATGCAATCATAATCAGATATGCCAGCAGATTGTCAATAACAGAGCACGCTATGTCTGTCTTTGCAAAAGTAATTACACAGGCCCTGATTGCTTAGAATTGAACCAACGTTGTGCCGAAGGTTACTGTTCTCCAGCATCCTTTTGCAGGCCAATGTATCGCAGTCTAGCAACTGGTAACGATGCGCCTTTCTGTCTTTGTCCCTCAGACTATTATGGTCAACGGTGCGAGTTGTCGCATGATATATGCACGTCAACGTTGTGTAAAAACGGTGGTACATGCTACACGGGCTCAAGGCCAGACCGCCACGTATGTGTATGTACTGAGAAGTATCGCGGAATATATTGTGAGCTTCCAAAGCCAGAAGTCACAATGTTTATTAATGGTACTGTTCCGCATGTTGGTGCTGTGATTCAATTCTTCATCATTAACTTTGTCTCACTCAATTTAATTCTGGTTCATCAACGAGCGTATCATAGTATGCCCAATTTTACTGAATATAGACATGATTCGACAACAGTACCCGAAATTGTTCTACTAAAGCTGTACGCGAATGAAAACAGCGAACCTGATACATATTTAATATCGCTACATATAGGTTTTATGGTGGTTAATGGCACTACGTACATTGGTGAGCACAATAGATTGGTTCATGTCAACACACTTTTAACACCTAACGAGCGTAAGTGATCATGATTCAAAAATTGATTTCTCAAACTAGAAGTGCATCTTAAAAGTCTTAATGTTCTTTTCCTTACAAGAGAAGGTCTCCAAGTACGATTCTCAATTCTAAATGGGATATATACGAATGTTTAGAACTTGAGCAGCGTGCTGAGTTTCTTCATATGTCTCCTTTTCCCCATAGAACTGCAAAAGAGAAAAACTGGTCGATTTTACTAGTGAATTTCTTTACTTTGAATAAGTTACATGACAGTTGTTAACAATGTGAGATTTCAAAGATATTGCATTTAGTGTTTCACGAAGAAATTCTCTAGTCAATAAAAACGAAGCGTTTTTCTTTTTTGAAGCTCTATGTTAAATAAACAATATATACTTCAAAAATCAGGTCGTCACGCTCTACAAACAGCTGGCACATATCCTATTTAGAATGGAATGCCATACTTAGAAAGTTTTTGTTAAAAGTCCTAGAAAATAATTTTCAATTGTTTCGCCTGTTGATAGGTGTCACTTCTCCATTCAACTATCACCATCTCTGTCTAAATGGTAGTGATCGGTTCTGCTTTCGCGACGATGGGTATTTGTGCATTTGTGACCGCGACAGATACCGTGTCGAATGCTTTGGTTATGATCCTTATCTCGATCAATGCTCTCAATGCTTGTCTGACGGTCGTTGTCTGAAAGCAAATCATTTGCAATCGAGTACTTTTATCTGTTTATGTCCGCCATGCCATTCAGGACACAGATGTCAGTTCAGTTCAGAGTTCTTCTCCTACAATATTGATGAGCTCTTCACCGCCAATCTTCTCTCTAGCAACCAGACTGTGAGAAAAATCACCATCTTTCTACTCATCATCTGTCCAGTTATACTGTTCTTGCTTGGTTTGATTAACAACATCTGTTCTATTGTGACTTTTCGTCGTAAAGCATGTTTACGTAATGGCATCGGTCAGTATCTACTCTATATGAGCGTAATCAACCAGGTAAACCTCAGTCTACTAATTCTCCGTCTCATGCATGTCATCATCAGTCATCATTCTCATTCTCGACTTGATACTATTCTTTGCAAATTGTTTTCATTTTTGTTAACAGCGTCCAGTCGTATTGCGTACTGGCTTGTTTCACTTGTTGCCATCGAACGCATTTATATAACATTATTTTTAAATGGTCAGTGGCTCAAAAAGCCATATATCGCTCGGTGTCTCATCGCGTTCGTGTTCATTGCAGTTCTTGGTACGGGCTCCTACGAGCTTGTGTTCACTCAATCATATCCAAAAGTAGAAAATAGCACTAGTCACTTGTGCGTACTCAATTTTCACGTTAATAGACTCTTTTGGACACGTTTTCATCAGACGGTGACAGTTATCCATTTACTTTTGCCTCTATTAATCAACATCTGTTGCGCGACGACCATTAGCTGTATAGTTACTAAGAAGAAGATGAATACATATGTGCACAATACCTGTAAGTGTTTCTGAAAATAGTTCTTCTAGTGTCTATTGCTGTTTGAGCGCTTTTCATGATGATAGTTCTCATGTCAAAATAATAATACTACGTCAGAAGATAGGAGTGAAGTATATAAAAACACCTTGAATGCTCTCTGCTCAATAGAGTTTTGAGAAGTAGCCGTCATAAGAAAATAATTTTGAAATCATATACACCAGTAAAGGTATTTCTAACACTTGGCACACTAGATGTACATATTATCGTTGATAACTAATGAAGTAGCAAGTTTTTTAATAGATTCTACGAAGAATGAATCATCGTTCAACAACCGAAAGAGTTGTATCAACATACTACGTGAGGTATTAAGAGAGAACAAAGAATTAATTATTGCACCCGCGATCACTCTCGTACCTCAAATTTTTTCACTTCCACTATTCATCGTCACCTTCTCACTCGGCTGCCAAAATCTTGAAACAAACAACCTGCGCTACATCCTCATCGTATCCTACTTTGCTTCGTTCATTCCTCAACTAATCAGTTTCTTACTTTATGTGTCTCCATCGTCGTTCTTTTTTAAACAATGGCATGCAACTGATCTGGCTAAATGGATTCTGATGTTAAAACAATATCGCCGACAAGAGCCACAGATAGCAACAATTGTTACATCAGCCGTCACCAAAACAGAAACGAATACTTTATGAAGGGTAGTATAGACGTGATCGAAGTATGCTAATGCTTTTAATACAATACGCCACGTTCAATGTCATAAATTTATATTGAAACGTACTATGAATTTTTTATTCATTGAATGCTTTGCTTTATAACTATTCTTTGCACGTAGTATTATATTGGGTTGATGCAAAAGTCTCCGCCGATCTTTAAAAATTTTCTTAAAGCCCTCTACCCAGGTCGAAAAATCTGACACAAGATCTTATCAGATCTTACAATATGATTGCTTGATCTGGGTAGCTCTACTCTGCATTCGTGATTTTCACACATATCATACTGCTTGTGTCGTACTATAAGATGGCATTGGTAAATGTCCTAGTTTATTTACATTCTTCATTAAAACATGTCAGAGATTCCTATTTATATCCGACACTGCATTTTGTATGAGTTCCAATTAGGGGACAATGCAAGTGCTGCTACCCGCAATATATGTGCTCCACATGGTGAAGATGCTGTTGCTGATCGAACGTATCGAGATTGTTTTAAAAGATTTCGTAAAGGTGGCATGTCATTATAAGATCGTCCGAGATCTGAACGTCCACTCGAATCTGATATTAAACGATTAAAAGTCCTGATCGAAGACAATCCACGATTAACCACCCGTGAATTGTCAGTAATACTCGGGTGTAACCAATCCACCATCGATCCCCATTTGCATGAAATGGGAAAAGTTAATAAATTTGGAACATGGGTTCCACATCAACTAACCTCGGAGAACATACAGCAGAGAATCATCATATGCAATTCTTTGTTGTCAAAACGCAGCCGATTTTGATTTCTTCAGCAGATAGTCACTGATGATGAAAAGTGGGCTCTATATGTCAACCATACGTGCAAGCACCAGTGGATAAATCCTGAAGATTTGCCAGAACCACAACCAAAAAACGACCTGCACTCAAAAAAGGTGATGCGATGGATTTGGTAGGATTACGCAGGGATAATCTACTGGGAACTTCTATCTCATAATACTGCGATAGACTCGAAGCTTTACTGCCAACAACTTCAAAATTTGAAGGTTGCTCTACAGGCAAATCGTCCAAAAAGACGAAAAATTCGATTTCTTCATGACAATCCAAGACCTCATGTCTCAAAAGTTACCCGCCAGAAGCTGGAAGAATTAGAGCGGGAGATCTTACCCCATCCACCATATTCATCAGATTTTGCACCATCTGATTATCATCTGTTTCGATCACTCAGCAATCATCTGGTCAAAAAACACTTCGATGATCAAACCGACCTAAAATCGGCCCTTGAAACGTTTTTTTTCTCTTTGTCTAAGAAATTCTTTGAAGATGGTATTCTGGATTTGCCTAAAAGGGGGGTGTATCTAGTAGATAACAATGGTGTATATGTTGTTAATTGATGATATTTTGTTTCAATACTTGAAATCGAGAAGAAGAAAAAACTTGGCGGAGACTTTTGCATCAACAAAATATAATGTGAACTTCATTTATTTGCTTCTTTTAATACAATATGTAATTAAAACTCATACTGTTCTTTGCTTCAACATAAAGTTTTAACATAGAATGAAATATATCAATGCAATGAGAATGGGTGTGGGTGTGGGTGCGTATGGATTTGTGTGGGTGTGAGTGTGAGTGTGTAAGTGTTGGTAGTGTTGTGCTGCTGAGATTTGTATTGTTGTGTCTTCTACAACACGAATTACACCCACACCCACACCCACACCCAAAATTCATAGGCAAATAGACAGGAAGATTTTTTCAAGATACAACAGGTACACAAACCACAGATTTAGTTTTAGGCAAAGATCACTTAAAATATAGAGAATCAATTTTAGATCCTACGTGGAATAAAAAAGACAAAAGAAAAATAGATTTTGAGAAAGATATTCTTTTCCATTTTTCATATACTTCATCCATAGCAAACTTCGGATCGCGATTCCACCAGCTATGGGAAGAAATATTCGAAGGAACACCTCTCGATGGCATACCAGTCATGTGCACAAATAGACTCACCGACAGTCTAAGACACCTTCTCGTAAAAAATCGACCCACGAGAGAAACGACAAACCTCCTACCAACAACCTCTGAAATATTAATAGTAATAAACGTGTGTTAATAAAAGAAAAATGAACACAAAAATCGATTAAAATTAAAACAACCCATGAGTAACACGATCATTGGCCCTTTCCGGCCGGCCCCCAGAAATCGAAGAGCAAAAACGTCTGTTCCTACATACTTTTTATTGCTGTACCTTAGCGATAGCAAAACTATAGTTTTCGGGAAAAAAATTATCGCTTACTTAATGACCTCATGTTGCCATTTAGCAACAGCCGACCGGAAAGGGTCAAAAATGTTTTTTTTCAATCATCAAAATACACTGATTTGTGCTTCTTTGATTTATTCATAACGTTATTTCAACGAAAATAGATACAATTTTCACATAAAAAAGAAACCAAGAAAAAAAACATGAACAATTAAAAACCATTTCGTAAAAGTACTTTATGAATGATGATAGTTTACGAAACAATTATTGTTATCGGTAAGGCACAGGCGTATTTGACATTTCGAACAACTTATTCTTGTATAACCACAACAACCAGGATTGCGACAGTGACTTTTTGACGTGTGAATAGGCCAATGATCGAACTTGTCGAATCGAACACTTGCTGGTGGAACCGAACTTGGCACAGTTCTTGTTGTTTTGTTGCTGAATTATTCTCATTTAATGTGGAATCTAATGATGGACGACCACGTTTAACTGGTGGCGTAGGTGGAGCATACTTGAGTAAAACATCAGCAACTTCGACACGAAATGATAATAGTGGCATTATATTTTTCTTTTGAATATTGACTTGAAAACAATGGCGACGATACAAAAGTCACCCATTTACAATACAGAGATCAATAAGGTGAAATATTATTTTAATATAATAATTTTTTGAACGGCAATCAATACGGTACAAAGAAACTAACATGTCGATCAAATCCACTCCGCCCATGTGTTGATTATAAGTTTTTATAACATTTGGTCTTACAATATGTATACGTTTTTTGGTTGCGAAGACCATCGTTTAACAGAATCGAGTGACTCACAGCCGTGTAATGTTGACAGACAATTGACAACATTGTTGTCATACCATCTAGTCACGCATAGTGTTACGCCATCAACTTCAGCGATACGATGGTCCATTGCACCTCGACCTTTACTTGACAATTCTTTCTTATTTTTCATTGTTAAATCAGTTAATCGGTTAGGTCTTACCGTTCCAACAGTATATATGCCTAATTTTTCCAGTTCAACTTGTAATCGAATCGTTGTGAAATAATTATCACAATAAACTTTATGATTGATGGCTCGTGGTACAGTTGCACATAAATCAAGAACAATATTAGTACAAAAGCCGTGTTCCTGTTTGTCAGGCTTACCTGTGTAAAGAATGAAACTCATAGCATATGCCACTTTCGCCACCAGCTAAAAGAATTATTTTTTTATCCCCATCGATTCGGTTTGTTTGGCATATGTTGCTTCATTATGCTTTTTCCTTTGAAAGGTATTATTTGTTCATCCACACTTAATTTTTCTTCTTTATCAATTTTTATGAAGTTTTCTTTAACAATGTTTAATAATGGACGCAGTTTATGTGCGCGATCAAAATTTGGATCATTACGATTTAGTTGCTTTGAATTATCAACAACATGTACATACTTTTTGATTTCTAAAAAACGATCTCGACTCATGACTGACGATATGGATTCGACACGAGTTGTGTTCATCCAGAAGAAACCTTGTTTTGGAAAGCAATATATTCCAGTCATTATTAATATGCCAATGAACTGTGGCATTTCAATTTCAGAAATCCGTACCGACTTGTTTGGATTAGCTTGAACTGAATATAGATTTGATTGATCGGTTAGCAAAGTTATTGATTTTTATCAAACATAGAAAAAAAATCAATTGGTTGCAATTCTTCATTCATTGGTGGTAATGGCAAAGTGTCAGCAAAAGTCGCTGCTGGAGTTACAAAATCTGCCTTTTCCCAATCTATTCTTTTTTCTTTTTTGATTGTGGACCATTTCGTTTAATTGTTTCATCACAATCACTTGATTCATTTGATGATGATGTATCGCTCATTATAAGTTCATCTCATAGGTTATGAGCAACTTTACTTACTTCATCTTCTGACTCGGATGAGTCAATCTCATCATCACTAATACCTTTTGGTACAACAGTATCTCTCTTTGAAACTGTTTTAGCAGCCATTACTATATATTCGTTGATCAAGTAGATCACTTGTTCTTCTCACGCCTAGAAATATCCAACTACTCCTACTACGTAGAATGACGTATAAAACCGAAAACTTGGAATATAATATTAATTTAGAATTTGATATGTGTCAAATATACAGACACTATAGTATATATGAGTTGCCAAGAACAAAAGAACAACGTCAAATAAAAGAATAGACTGCTCGCCTATTATAATATTGTACGATAGATGGCCTTGGTATCTAATATAGATAACGATAGTACATATACACGTGTAGTTGAATTATTTACTCTCATTATAGAAGTCAACAGTATATGTTAAGAGATGATGGGCTCATATTATTTTGACAAAATGTAGCTGACTATAGTTAACAAAGTTCACTGCAATGGCACTAACTTCTAAGAAATTTTACTTTGCTCATCGAGGAAGCAAAGTCTTTTCCATAATACTGTAATGTTTTTCGAAAATAGACTCTTTCAGGAAACTTTGTACTTCGATTAAAATATGAAGTTTAGAAAACAATTATCAATAGGGTATGAAAAATTGCTTCTAACACATGCAAAGAGGGTTTTTATTTCATTAGTGATACATATATTATCGTATAATGCAGTAAAATACTTTGATTTCATAGTTAAAGACGAAAATTAATTTTAGAAATCTTTTCCCCATTACGGGCGGGAGTTGCCAAATGGCAACATCACTTTATTTTATTATTCGAATACCTTGAATAATTAATCATACTAGTGCAATATATAACAGCTCTAATAAGGAAAATTAACCACCAGTTATTTCTGATACTGATTGTTGAGACGTGCAGGAATATCATGTTTGCGATTCGCATGCATTTTTGAAGCATTGCATATGAAGTCAGCTATTTTTTCAGCGAAGAATTTTTTTGTCAAATGATGTAGGAATATGTGCTAACACATGTGGTAGTAATTATCATATCGAAAGAACTTTGTATGCTTTCGCTGTAAGTCAACCATTTCCAAAATATTGAGTCAATGTTGCCAAATGGCAACATCCGACTGGAAAGGGTTACTAGAATGTATATGACACATACATGCAGAGATAATTATTATATGAATGAGAATATCTATTGTCTGTCGTAGATTATTACTATATTAATAATTTTTCTTTTTATTAACTTACTTATTTCTTTATTTCCATTATTTATTCCTCCTATGGATGATTATATGACTCAGATTATATGAATAATATGAATAATGTAAATTTTCCCTGTATTTAAATTCCTTCTTCTTTTTTATAGATAATTATTGTTTAGATAATTAAAAAATGTTTTTTTTCAATAATATAGAATATTTTACATTTACTCGCTTGATAACGAATAAATTCGAAAGGCCTAGCATTAAAATAAACTTTTTGTCCCATTATTATTTCTTTTTCTTTCTTGAATTTTTTTCTTTTTATCTCTATCATTTTCTTCTTTTTTTCTTCTTTTGTTTCAACCGACATCAATCGAGCTTTTCTTGGAAAATACTAGATATACTGCTTTTAATCGATAATCTCTATCGTAGTTCATAAATAGTATACATGATAAAATATGTCATGCGTGCACACATGTGAAGAAAACGAAGAGGAATAATGATTAATAGTTTTTGATCGAAAGAAAGGACTCCAAATAAATCTAGTTGAAATAAATAAAATTTCTTTAGAAACATCTTTTTTGAGAAACTGACGACTTTCAAAAGCATTAAAATTCAAAGTATATTCCATGGGTAATGCTGCAGCACTGAAAATGAGTGTCCATTAAATACAGAACGCAATAAATATGAAAACTAACTTGGAGAGCGAAATTTAATTATACAATAATAATAATATAATGGGATAAATGGATATGTGGCAGTAGAGTTTAGAATCTAGTTGAGATTGGAATTGTTGATTATTCTATAAATGATATGAGAGAGTGATTCATAGAAATAAAATTTTATTAGTGAGTGATACGAGATAGTTTGATTGATTATGTAGATTCAAAAAACACGTTTTTGTTTCCAAGATTAATTGTGTCCATCTTTCGTGATTGAAGAGAGAGAAATGAGAAAGATTCTGAAAAGATGTTTGTTTTAATACGCGGGACATTGGGACATAGGCACATTGATTTTTCTCTTTCGTTCTGCATTCGAAGAAAACAAAGAAAAAGATTTTCGCTATCGTTATTTCGAAGTAGGGGTCTCGAGCAGGTGGGATGGGAATGGAAAAAGTGTTTATATCGAATGATATGGGAAGAAAGTAAATTTTTTAAAATTTTTCATGAAATTAAGAAAGAAGTTTCTTATATGAGTACTCCATTTGATGTTTTATTATCTACAATCGTTCTTCGTTAAGAACAAATAATCTAATATAAAAGAAACTTCGTATTTATGCCTAAGCATTGTCTGTTTCATAGTGATGATTATCAATTATAAAAGCTTAAATTAATAAAGAAATAATGACAAAAAAGTTAGATATTAATAGATTCGACTAATTTTTTGAAGTGTAAAACTCGGATAAATAAGTATTTATTTAATGATGTAACACTATTGTCATAATCAACGAAGTATTTTATTTTCTTTTAATATTAAAGTATCAGTTCAGCAAGATACATTAATTACTGTATGACACATACAAGCGAGATGAGAGCGCGTTGAGATAAATGAAAAATAAGAAATATTTTTTTTGTTTTGGTCACCAATTTAAAATAGAAATCTAAATTATGATCAATTAGAAAATAGTTTGCTAAATCTAACTCATAGAAAAAAATTTGCATATCGTTCATATAATTTTATTTGCATTTTGATTTTCGAAATTGTTTTCTTCTTCTCTTCTCTTTTCTTCGCTCTCTTGTGTGCCTATTTTCTCTATCTTTAATTAGATCTATTATTACAATCTCAACTAAATTCTCATGCCAACTGTAACAAATATAAGGCATCAATGAAATCCAATATTCGGATTAAGTTTATAGCAATCGCTTCTTAAAAAAAGAATGTTTGATCTAGTTCAATAAGCACTCATTGGATTACACGATCAGTGTAAAATAGCTTACGTTTTTAATTAATTCACGATAAATGAGAACTGAAGGAAATCAAAATGCTTGTTTAAAACAAATCTCTATAATTTAAAACAAAATGATGTCATTGGTGCTAAAAGTGTATTCTTTTCAATCAGAATTTCAATTTACGTTTAAGTTTATATGAGGAATTAAAGATTTAACGAATAGAGCAATAGTTGTTGTGTAATCAAAAAACTTATCAGCTACTGTTTATAAACGTAATATCATAATTCTACATCTTTTTTATGTATACCTAATAGTAAGCAAAAGTATTAAATGAGTATAAAAATTTACTAAAGCACATATACAATGATTCTTTTTCAAATAAAAGTGACTGTTTGCTCTTAGCAACTCTTGTTGTTCATCCATCAGATCATAGATGTCATGATACTGTTACATTGGGTATCGTGATTTCGAAGTCATAATATCAAGGGGGAAAAGCGTATTTCTGTATTTCTAAATATTTCGATGTATTTCTGGATTTCTGAAATACCTAGAAATACGTATTTCCACGTATTCCAGAAATTCAGAAACACATCGAAATGCATTGAAATATATATAAATACCCAGAAATAGGTAGAAATGCCCAGAAATACGTAGAAATACCCAGAAATACGTAGAAATGCCCAGAAACACATCGAAATGCATTGAAATATATATAAATACCCAGAAATACGTAGAAATGCCCAGAAATACGTAGAAATACCCAGAAATACGCTTATTCCTCCTTGCATAATACCCATCGAATTATTTTTGGGGTATTACCCTATGGTATTCACTTTTATATAGCTCTATGTTTTAAGTTGAGGAATTTGAGTTGTTTTGGTGTATTTATTCTAGGATATCGAAGTTGTTACGCTTTAGGGTAATACCCCAAAACAACTCAAATTCCTCAACTTAAAACATATAGTTACGGTGTGAGTGTGGGTGTAAGTCTCTGCTACCCAATCACCCACACCCACACACACCCGCATCCAATTACGACAGAAATTGCGGGGACAATGTCATGATTTGAGTTGAAATAAAAACTCTGATAAAACTTATGTTTTCATTTTCTACCGCTGCATAGCCCTCTCTCAATTCTCAATTATAATTCACATAATTTTGATTGCTTTACTGCTGCAGTTATAGGAGAGCCTTTTTCAGATTATGTTTTGTTACGTCTGACATCTTTATCTAGTTGGAGGTCAACACTTTCTTGTTTGTTTGTTTCCTTTCGTTCTTCTCCCCTTTTGTTTATTGTTAAAAACAGTTATGTCTTATACGTGAATAAAGAAGGCCCTGTGAACTCAGGACATAACAAGTGGTGACAGCGGTGTTCAAAAAGAAAAAAAATTTTTTTTTTCTATAATTACTACATTTGATTAAATGGTAACATCCTTTTAAGAAAGGATTGTATCTGTTATTAATTACATAGAGAATTGAAGTTTATATCAAGGATATTGGTACATTGGATGTACACTTCCACTCGTTCACAATTAAAGTTACACACACATCAGA